AGCATTAGAATAATGAATATTTTGGGCTAATGGTAATGCACCCAAATTTTGCTTCACAATATTTTGGCTTTAAGTGATATTTGATATAATTTATTAATGATGCATTATACTCATTTTGCATTCATTTAATCTTTCATGTTTAATTTGAAAAAATATATATAATTCTAAATTCTTGAAATGCTTGTCTTTAATCCTAAAAGCATACAACCAAACAGCCCCTAAATTAAAAAAATGAATGCATAAAAATAAATGTAATACACCCATAATATTTTCAACAAAAACCCCCTTTTTCTTTATCTTTCTCAGTCAAACGAGAAAGCATTTAACTCATTATTCTTGCCCTTTTATTACTTCAAAATCTTTTTCTTTCTCATTTTAACGATGAAGCTTTTATCTTTATCTTTCGCATTCAATGAGAAAGCTTTTAGTTTACTATTCTCCCTCTCTTATTTTCCTCAAAATCTTTATCTTTCTCATTTTAAAGAGCTCCTATGATCTGCACAAAACATATCTTCTTAACCTGAAATATGCCATAACTCATACATCTAGTTTTCTATATATATAGTTTCATAAATTTATAATTGATAAGAAATGAGATTGATTCATGATTACAGTTTATCAACCAAATTAAATGAGTCCTAATTTGTCAAGAGGTATATTTTAAATTGATTACAATCTACATTAAACATTCATTATGATTTTCATGCTTAGGGTTGTTTTCTTATTTTAAAACTAGAAAATTCTCTTTTTTAAGAAATAATGAATCTATCTTTTTTTTTTCTATTTTGAATAAAGATAATTAAGAATTAATATTGATTGCAAATTCATATTAATTTAAAAAATTCCTCACACTTGATGCTCACTTTAGATATCAAATAATTAAGAAAAAAAAATTGTAAGCCATTATTCCAACCTACATGCAACCAAATGTAAGCATCAATTCTCATATAGCTTAAAAAAAGAAAATAAACTATTTCGTTAGTAAAATCTTCTGTTTGATTTTTTTTCCTTGATATCATAGGTGTTCAGAATTCAGATCAGTAACTGCCAAAAATAATTCAATATTCATCCAAAGGCAATGATTTACTTATTATAATTATAAAAAAATTATTTAGAAAAAAAATATTATTATCATTATTGCCTAAACAAATTAAATAAATAAGCACATACCTGCGCGATGAACAAAATGACGAGTGACCAAAGACTGTCGGACGAGATGGATGAGAGATGCAGAGGGCAGCAGTATCGGCCGTCGTTTTTGAATTCTGCGGTGGCAATGAAGCCAGGTTTTATTAAGATAGCTGTGAAAGCCTGAAAGAAGAAACTTGCTAACCGCTTGAGGGGCATTCCCTATAATACTTTTAAAAATACTTTCCGACAATATATTTCTAATTTCACAAAACTATATTCAAAAATAATTTTGATTCACAGTTTCTTTTCTTCAAGAGAAAGAAAAATCATTCAGTTTCACCCAAAATACTAAACCGCTAATTAATTTTTCTATAAAAAGACCAATGAAAAAAATTAAAAGAAAACCTAGAAGAAGCACCCATGCACAAGATAGAAGACAAGCAAAATACAGTGAGGCACAGATGTGAGTAGATGTGCGACCTGTGATAGCAACAAGTGCTAGCCAGAAACCAGAAAACGTACGTACGGAAGTTATTTGATTGGACTCAGCTGCCCTGCTCATCTCCTCCTCTCTCCATCATAATAATAACTAGCTTTTAACGTTCTTCTCTACTCATCCACATAAACACCCGTCAGAGAACCCTGCACCCTCCCATGCTCCATCGAATCATCCTATTCTATCCACTTTTTGCCAAGAAAGATACTCATCAATGATAATTCAAAAACTTCATGCAAAATTTATATTAAAAAAAATGCATCTCAAATCATAGAAACATCATCTTCTTCTCGAAAATGGTATGTTAATGTAAGAAGATGAGCCTATTCTCTTAATATAAAGAGAAAGAGTTGTGTAAAACTGAAGGCTTGCTACGACAAAAAGTTCCAAAAAACTGTGGTTATTGCCACTATATCAACTACATTAAATATAGCACTCTTTCATTTTTTTTACTGGTACTGAGAGAGGCCGCCCCTGTCGCCGACCGCAGGAAACTGTTGGGGAATAACGTTTAGCCTCCATGGGAGATAAAGCTCCCTTTGCTCTTCCGCATCGCTGGCATAAACAGGGACCGGCGAGCTCTTCACTGCCGCTACCGACGGAGTGTAACAACTCCATGGGTGCTGAGCCTGCCCTCTTGTATATCCGTAGTTGATCCCGTCGCCTACCGCCGATGCCGCCATTGCCGTCGAAGAAGCCGCAGCACGCCGCTCTTCCTTTTTGTACCTAATCCCGCACGCGTTGCACAGCGACTGCAACACATTATCAAGACATTAATAAATACCTCTTCGGCAGAAATGCTTGAGTGTTATTTTTTTTCTGCTGTAAATAGAAAAAAAGGTTTTAAAATTACTTGTTAAATGTTACATTAATTTTACAATCAGTATATATAACTATTTTTTTAAAATTTTGTATAACCTAAAAAAAATTTAATTTCTAATAGTTGCATTCAATCTAATAACCGAAACAAATAAATTCATTATTAAGAAAAAAAAAACATTGAATTTTTTTTAATATAAGTTATCAAATAGGCCAAAGTATTATTTTGAAAAAAAAAATATTGATCTTGACTGTAGTTTAGGAAAGTTAGGTCGAACCTTTGGACCCCGGGGACCGTTTCTCCATAAAGGGGTGGACGTTGTGTCGCAGTTAGCACAGCGGCGGGCGAGTAGGAAAGGATCTCCGTTGAGAGTTGCGCTGCTGCTGCCGCCGACAGAGGCCGTGAAACCTCCACCTGCACTCGACGACGAAGAGTGCTTACCTGGCTGAGGCAGTATGTCCCAGCACAAGGAAGGCAGCGAAGAAGAATGTTGCAATGCCGAAGAAGATGAAGAAGAAGAAGAAGAAGACAGATGGCGCGTGTAAGGCGTTCCCAACGTGAGCGTGCAGTCAACAGAAGAAGTAGCAGCGCCACCATCTCCAACAACCTCCTCCATCTCCTGCTTCCCTGATACAGGGAACAGAATGGTAAACGAGCAGGGAGCCGCCGAGCTGCCGCTGCTGCTATTACCGCACCAGTGCAACATCGTTACAGTTGAACGAAGATATTCTCAACTGTTTCAAATCAAAGGGGAACCGAGGCAAACAACGCGCGCAGTTCACCTCTTTTAAAAACAAAGCTCTGGATGTGCCAGTACTAGATCAGTTTTGTGCATCGGGATGAGAAAAGTTAGTAGAAGAGGAAGCTAGCTAGCTAGTTCTCAAGCTATCAAGGGAGAAGAAGAAGCGATCGAGGTCTAGCGCGCACTACACGAACTACAAAGCGGTCAGTCTTGAAGTACGTCCTGCTAGTGTATTCTTTTGATATATGAAGTCGAATAAATGAGAGAGCAGCCTGTAGTGTATAGGTTATGATGCGTTATGGGGTAACTAAACGGCAAGACCGACAGACGATTAAAGGAGATTAATAAATAAGTAAATGAATTGTGGGAACTAGCTAGGGATGTGGGAGATCGGGTGGGTTTGTCTGTTTCGGTCCCGTTGCCTGCGGGAACATCTCTATCTCGATCGCCAATGCAATATATATATATACATCGGTCGTACTAAACAAAGTAAGACTAAAAAAAGAGGTGGCGTATCTCCCATGCTAATATATTATCTGGGTCGACGAGTAGACTAGTCAGCAGTAGTACGACGTGCATGTCGTGTAACGCCAGCGAGGAGGAAAGAAATGAGATGCGGTGAAGGAATCCTCCTGGATCGAATACTATTTCTTTGCAATCCATATTTTGATTGGTAATTGGGTCTGTTCTCATGAAAAGATTTTTTTTTTTTTTAAGATCAGTAATTGTTGATACCATTAATCAATCATTTATTTATTTCTAATTAAGTAATAATTAATAAGACCATCAACATTTACACCTTATTATTCAATCTTTTATTATTTTCCGTTGTTTTTTAAGTAAATCCGATTTTTTTTTTTGGGAAAAATTGGGGCCTAAGCCCATCTATTACTATCAAAGAGAGAAAGTTACATGTGAAAAAGCAAGAAAACAGAAACAACCTACAAACTTAGTAGGCCAAAAGAGATAAAAAAGAACAACTATACCCCATTTATACCACCCAATACAACAAAATAAAATTGCAATAACCAAAATGTGGTAGGAGCATCAGCCCAAGAAGAATGAGCTGCAAATACTGATCTCCAAAGCAATTGCTAAGAGCTAGAGAATTCCCATGAAGACACAGAACTTCTGCAGAAATGAATGAGAGCCTGCTAGTAGAATCAAACGCTGCAGCAAGACGAACAGTGAAAGAGCCTCCAGAAAACCAGAACATCACCAGCGAAGACCCAAGCAAAGGGTCAGGAACTCCCATGCCCGTGACAACTGGACTCAGAAGGAATAAGTAAGAAATGCATATCAACCACAGCCCTGGTTGCCCAAGATACTTGGGCCGTCCAAGGGAGTGATAGGGGAGTTTCATCATTGTCCAGGTGGGCATAACTGCATATGAATTATCCAACGGCAGCATGAAGTAGCCAATTACATCCTTTCCAAAATATCCATAGCGTTTCTCCATTTCAGAATTTTCTCCGACAAAACTCTCTTTATATACAATAATAAAGAGACTTGGCATTGGAACTGTTTACCAAATGTTCTATTGTTCCTCTCCTTCCAGACAAAATAAATCACAGCAGCTACAACCAATTTATAGAAATTAAAAGTCTCCGTCTTACCATTAAATTGCCCAGAAATCCAATCAAATATGAAAGATGTTGGGCTTTAACAGAAAAGAGCTCATCCCAGGAATTAAACCCGAGAGAATAGAGAAAGAATAATTGCATTCAAAGAAAAGGTGAGAAGCCGATTCATCAGAAGAATGACAGAGACAGCAAAGAGATGGAACAAAAATATGCCTGAGTCTAAGCGCATTAGCCGTTTTGAGGCCACCCACGATTGCCATCCAAGAAAAAAACAGAATATTTCAATGCATTTCTATTATGCCAAACCATGCTGAACCAGCTACAGTTCATAATATCCGAATAAAATTCCTTCAGATAATTTTTAAATTTGCTCTTTATCTTGCCATACCAAAGCAAACAGGGCCCCTCTCCCTCAATCCCAAAAATACCAGAGATAACACCAGAAAGGCTTGGAGAGAAAGAGTCAGGTAATACCCACGCAGAATCAGAGATAATATTAGATATTGCAATGTCAGGAATAGAGGCAATATTATCATGACCAAAAAGATCACATACATTCCTGTCATCAATCCAGTGATCCCATTTAAGGGAGATAGGAGAAGAATTCACAATTCTAAATTTGAAGCAGTGCTTAGCAATAATGGCTGTATTGCAAATAGATTTCCAAAAAGGGGAAGCAACAAAAGGCAGGGGCTTCCAGGGGGATCCGTATTTCCTGAATATCCAAGTAGCAAGAGGACTGGAGCAATTGTACAGTCTAAGAATAATAGAGCAATTAAAAGAAAATTGCATAGCCTAAATAGAGGAAATACCCAAACCCCCTTTAGAATATGGGAGACAAACCTTATCCCAAGCTATCATATGAAGTTTTTTAGCAGAATTGACATCCCCAAAAAACAGGAATCTAGAGCTAGATTTTTTAACAAACTTGTGTACAGCTTTTGGTATAATTGCTCCTCTTATCCAATAAGCAATAGTATTCTGGATAGTAAATTTTAAATATTGAAGTCTGCCCGCAAGAGAGAGCAGCGAAGCTTTCCAACCATTGAATTTCCTGTTAATGCTATCCAATAATGGCATATAATCCTCTATTTTAAGCCTATAGAAGGACAACGGAATGCCTAGATAAGAGATCTTGCTAGTAATATTGTGAATGGAAAGAGCATTGCAAATTTCACTCTGATTGTGTATGTGTTTAGGAAGCATTATAGCGCTCTTATCATAATTTATATGTAATCCTATAAGCTCAGCAAATTCATTAAGAATAGTAACCAACAAGCTGCAGTTCTCCACGGAAGCATCACCAAATATAAGGACATCATCAGCATATAGCAAGTGGGAAAGAGAGTAGCCATTAACATTAATCCCCTTGAAACCCCTTAGCTCTAAGAGGTTAGAAAAACCATCCATAATGATACAAAAGAGATAGGGACTCATGGGATAGCCCTGCCTAAGCCCAGCAGAGGAGGAAAAAAAGCCTTCCAGCGCACCATTGAGAATGACCGAGAATTTAACATCATAAATGCAGGCTTTTATCCAATTAACAAAACGTCTAGGGAATTCTTTCTGAATCAATCTGGCAATTAAGAAATCCCTAGAGACGGAGTCAAAAGCTTTCTTAATGTCAAGTTTTGCACAAAATTTTTTTTTCTTTACCTCGTTTCCCCGCATGAAATAAAATGTCTGAAGCTAGCAGGATGTTGTCAGTGGAGACTCTAGACTTAAGAAAGCTAGCTTGATTGTCTTTAACAATAGTGGTCATGACTGGTTTAAGCCTCAAAGCTATAATTTTTGCAATAATTTTATACAACACATTGCAAAGGGCAATTGGTCTATAATCCGCAATAGTGGTTGCATTAAAGTGTTTGGGAATGATAGCGAGAGCAGTAGCTTTTACCCCAGCAGGCATATAATATTTATCAAAGAAGGAGTGCACTGCTCTAATCATAACTGGACCAATAATATGCCAGCTAGTTTTGTAGAAATGAAAGTTAAATCCGTCGGGCCCAGTAGAAGAGTTAGAAGATCCCAAAAAAACCGCATCCTTGATTTCAATATCAGTCACTGGGGAAGCCAGCAAAGCATGATAGCTATTGGGGATAGCAACACCAATAGGAATATCACCAATACCCATGAAGTAAGAAGCGGGAGGATTGTAAAGCTCTTGAAAATATTGAGTGATATAAGAAATCACATTAGATCTGTTGGAAGAGGGATTGGAATTAAGAAGATTGATAACATATTTCCTACTTCCCATCCTGCTCCGAATTTTAGCATATAAAAATTTAATATCATCTTCCCCATATTTTAGCCAGTTCACCTTGGCACGCTGAATGACCCAAGAAGCATATATATTTTTAAAATTAGCCAGCTGATAGCTACAGGCTTTGTATTCAATGCTAATTTCAACATTATTGTGTTCCTGTAACATTTGCTCCATAAGATTCTTCTGAGAATTATTGAGATACTCAATGTGCCTAGACACACTAGAAGAGGAGGACCAACTTGCCTTTTTAATCTCTTTTTTCAGTAGCCTTAGAGAGTTACAAAGATGAGAAATCGGATTCCCAGAGATTGGTTTCGAGAAAACCTCTAACAGCATAGCCCAATACTTATCAATCTTGGTCCAATAATTCTTGAAGAGGAAACGATGGAGAGACTTGAAAGAGTTTCCAGAGTGCAAAATAACAGGGGAGTGATCAGAACACGAAGGGTTTTGAATGGAGTAGTAAGAATCCGGGAAATTAATAAGCCAGCTCTCATTCACAATAACTCTATCCAACTTAATATGGATGTGATTATCAACTCGTTAATTATACCAAGTAAAATTGCATCCAACAGAGTGCAGATCCATAAGACCATTGTGGAAAATACAGTCATTGAACTCTTTAAGAGCCTGATGTGTAAGAGGAGAAACACCAAGCTTCTCAGTGGCAAATCTACAGCAATTAAAGTCCCCCATGATAGCCCAGGGAACATTATCATCAGGAGAAGCTTGAGAAAGAGAGTTCCACATAGTTTTTCGATCTGACATGCTATTAGAAGCATATACAACAGAGAGCTGAAAAATAGGCTGATTAGACACAATGATCATACCAGAAATCAATTGAGAGGTGATAATGGAGGGAGAGAACATCAACTTAGATGAATCCCACTTAACCCAGATTCTCCCAGAGGCAGAAAAAGCAAAATTGTTACAACTGGCTTCATAAGAGAAAAGCTTATGAGAATGTTCAAAGAACGGATCAGTAAGAGAATGGATATTAATCCGATTCTCCAAAATACAAACTAAATCTAGTTTATAAGACTGAATAAGACGCTTAAAACAAAGCACTTTATCAGGGCGATTAAATCCCCAAATATTCCACGTAGCCATATGTGGAATAGACATCAGGATTTATGCATAGATTGGGGTTTTTTCCCCTGCTTCCCCTTAGCAGTTTTCTTGACTGTAGAAGACTCAATATGTTTATTTGAGATGGATTGAACTTTAACAATCAAGTCCTCCCCAGAAACAGCAGCCATAGCATTTTCCCCTACTAAATTCACCACCGAATTAGATGAAGGGTCCTTGGTATCATCCTCTCTGTTTAATAATTCAAACCTATTAGGAGAAACATATTCCTTCCCAACTGAAGTCTTCTGAGTTTGAATATTTGTAGAGGATGAGGAAGCAACGTCATTGGGAGAGTTTAGATTTGGAATACCCAAACTAAACTGATCCCCAATGACAAAATCTCGAACAATGGTTTCAGCTACAGAATCCATTTCCTTTATTTTCATATTAGTGGATTTTGGGGAATGTGGCTGATATTGTAAAGGATGTCCAGTCACCAAGGATGGGGACTCAAGAGGGATTTGGTTTTTCAGGAGAGTTTGAGGATTGACAGGTTCCATTATACCAGAAAGAGTAGGTGGAAGATTATCCGGAGTTCCAGAGGCGGAGGTAGGTCTAGAACGAGCCCTTCTACTGGTGATCCTACCTCTGATGATTTTCGACTCATTACCAATAGCTTTTCCTTCCTCATTAGGATCACTCTCCGGCTTTTTCGGACAAGAAGAAGAGTAATGCATTAAAGACTTACAGTGATGACAGGGAAAAGGGCGCCATTCATATTGCACTCTCAAGCGAACCACTTCCCCGTCCAAAGAAACCTGAATCTCCTCCGGGTAGGTGGCCATGCAATCAACCAGAACACATATTCTAGCAAACGTAAGTCTGGTTTTCTGCTCTGTCAAACTGTCCGCAGCAACAGGAACGCCAATTTTGCTAGCGATCCTCGAAATACCCTCTGAGTTCCAACAAGCAAGAGGAAGATCATGAATCTTCACCCAGATAGTAAATCCGATTTATCACTATTTGAAACTTGTTTTTTTTTTTTCAATTGGATGGTGGTGACCACATCATGCTACCATGATCTTTGTCTTTCCAATCAACAACCGACCCCTTAGTGATCTTATGAACCTCTCTCATCCACCTATGTTTTCAGGGATGGAGTCCGAGATTTTTATTAATAGGATAAATAATTTTCAAATTACTCATAAGCTGTATTTAAAATTTAAAATTTTGATTTGTAAAATAGTTCAATTTTTTATAGTGTTTTACTTGCTCAAGAGCTTGTTCACGATCTAAATGCTAAAATTGATGGTGGGAATGTTATTTTTAAGATGGATATTACTAAGGCTTATGACAACTTGAATTGGGTTTTTCTTTACAAAATTCTTAATCTCTTCGGCTTCAACGTGAGTTCTTTTAATCTTATCAAGAATTGTATTGAGAATTGTCACTTTTCTGTTATTATCAATGGTAAGTCCCATGGCTTTTTTAAGTCTTCTAATGGGGACAGGCAGGGTGACCCCTTATCCTCAATTTTGTTTATTATTGCTGTTGAATTTTTATCTCGTGGGATTAATAATCTTTTTCGTTTCCATCCTAATCTGTACTACAAAATGAATAGTGGCATTCCTATTACTCACTTAAGCTTTGCCGATGATTTAATTATCTTCTCCAATGGTTCTTTGAAAATGTTGAATTTTCTTTTTAAATTCTTGAAGAGCTTCCAAAAAGCTAGTGGTTTAATTTTTAATGCCTCTAAGTGTTGTTTCATTCCTGTTAAGTCTATATCTGTGAATCGTATTGCTAACATGGAAAGAAAGTTTGGTGTTATTAAGACCGATCTTCCTATCAAATATCTTGGTGTTCCTCTTTTTAAAGGTAAGAAACGGTCCCATCTTTTTGATGGGGTTTTTAAGATGATTCATAAGAAACTTTCTTCCTAGGCCTTCAATTTTTTGTCTTATGGTTGTAGAATGGTTTTGATTAAACATGTTTTAAGCTCCATTCCTATTTATCTGATGCACACGTTAAGCCCTACCAAGCATATCTGTCACAAAATGGAAATTATTTTCAATAAGTTTCTTTGGGGCTCTAAAGACGATATGAATTCCATTATCTGGAGTTCTTGGAATAAATGTGTTGGAAATAAAGAGGAGGGCAGACTTGGATTTCATTCCTTGACTGATATGTCCAAGTCCTTTAATCATAAACTTTGGTTTTCATTCAGATCTTGTAAAAGTTTATGGGCGAAATTCATGGTGGCCAAATATTGCTCTCTCAATCACCCTTTGAATTGTTGTTTTAAACTAGGGTATTCCTTCAACTGGAAAAGACTTTGTAGTATCAAGTGGGAAGCGAAAGAGTTCATCCAATGAGGTTTGGGTGTTGGGAACATTTACTTCTGGCAAGATAAGTGGTTGGGTAACTTCTCTATTGATACCCTTTTAAATACTTATTCTATTTCTACGTTGAAAGTTAAAGATGTTTTTATTAATGGCACTTGGGATATGAACTTGCTTACTAATATTATTCCTAATACCATTATTAGTTTGATTATTAAGATCTCCATTATTGTAGATAATGAAGATTGCATTTTATTTAGTAAGTCCCCTAATGGCCGGTTTGATACTAAAATTTTTTGGAACTCTATCAGACATATTATGCCTAATAACTATCTCTATGAGTATATTTGGCACCCTAATATTCCTTGTACTTATTCTTTTTTTACTTTGGAGAATTCTTCACAACTACTTACCTGTTGACTCCCTGTTGATTAAAAAGGGTTCTTTATTGTTTCTAAATGCCAATGTTGCTTCCATCTTGAAAACCTGAACCATGTTTTCATCAATGAGCCGATTGCTATAAAAGTGTGGTTGTATTTTGATAATCTTTTTAATGTGTTTAGAGGTGGCCAGTTTGATTCGATTAATGCTATGCTTAGTGATTGGTTTATTCCTATTAAAAGCCACATTAGAAATATTATTCCTATGCTCATTTGTTGGTATTTATGGGATAGCCGTAATGCTTCTAATCATGAGAATATTGGGATGAATGCTTTAAATGTTATTGCTAAAGTTAAGAACAAGATTTTCCAACTTCATAGTGTCAATTTAATTAAAGTGGGGGCTTTTAAGAACTGCATTCATACTGCTATATATGCATCTGGGTTTGAAGTTACTTATTGAGCCTATCAGCAAGAAAGATAAATTGATTTATTGGAGACGTCCTATTTACAACTGTTTTAAACTTAATATGGATGGTTCTTTTAATAACTTGAATGCTGGTTGTGGTGGCATTATTCGTGATCATAAGGGTATGGCTGTCATGGATTATGCTGGTCCGTCCCCTGGTACTAATGCTTTGCAAGCGGAGATTGACAGCTTGCTTTATGAGATCCAATTATGCCTCTCTCTTGGTATTAATAACATTTGGGTGGAAGTGGATGCCTTGCTTCTTATTCAATATATCAATGGCTACTCTATGAACAACCCCAACAATTTTTATAAGATCAGGGATATTAAGCATTGTCTTTCTCGTATTAACTTTTCTATATCTCATATCTTGCGTGAAGGTAATGTGGTGGCTGATGGTTTAGCAAAGTTGGGGTGCGCCATGAATGATTTTTTTACTTTTTAATGAAAATTCCCTTCCCAGGGATATTAAAGTTCTTACCAAGCTGGACCGGTTGGGGCTTCCTTATATGAGGATCTAATCTTTCTTTTTTGCTGCCTTTGGTTTTCTTTGGATGTGTTGCATTTCTATTGTTTTGAGTATCAGTCGATGTTGGATTGATCTTACTAAAAATGGTTTCTGCTATTATAGGTGCTGGAGTAGTGATATCCTCTTTCTTTCTCTTTCTCTGCATACGGTAACCATGATATATGATGCTAATTTATATTTGGTTACTTGGTTTTTATTGGTGAATGCCTGGAAATGGTCTAACTATGGTGGGGCTATTTTTCCTGTCTCATATTTCCCGTCTCATATTTCCTGTCTTGGTGGGTCTGCTGCTGCGGCAGTGGTCTACCGATTGGTTTTATCATTTGTAAGCCCAGATTTTTGTTGGTGTCTGCCACTTCTGGGAACATTAATCATCCCATAGATCTCTTTTTTAGTATTACAATTTCTTGCTTATGTCATTTTTGCTCTAGTGTTTTTGCAGGCCTGTTTTTCAGGTTTTTGGAGCTCCGTGCTCGTTTTGTGCAGGGTACGTGTGATGCTTGTAGGTATATGCTGAACGTGATCAATTCTTCCCTCTGCTTTTTGTTTCTTAGAATGTTCCTAGGTTGTTGTGTAATTTTGAGCAGTAGGGACCTCCGGCTCTTAGGTTTCTTTATGTTTTTTTTTAGCTCTTATGAGCAGTAGTGAGCTAGAGGTCCCTTTAAGGATTTTGTAACTTTTTTCAGATATTAACGCGTAGGCCTGTTTGTGAGTTTTAATAAAAAAAAAGATGTTAGTTTTAGCCTCATCAATTGCAACTTAATTGTAATTTCAATGATGGATATCTACTTTTTCTTATATAAAAAATGTCAAATATAATTAAAACTTTAACTCACATTTGAAATTTTTTTTCTCAAAAATTTCTTATGCTCGTCTTCTCCAACCCTTCAATCAATTATATATGATATGTGCATTTAATCACTCTCAATTCATGCTACTTATAACATGAAAATGTACTGTTCAAAAGCACATCATAATTTCCCACTTACTAATAATTAATAATAAAATTAATGTAATAATTAAAAAAATATATCAATTTTATTGATGTTTGAAGCTATAGGTCTATAGTTCTCCAAGTCATCTCTAATTTATTTATTTGGACAATTAAAATTAACAATATTGATTTTGTTAACTTAAAATTTTTATTACACATTCATAATTTTGATAATATAAATTTACAAAAAGAAAATTTTTTTTCTTGCTATTTTTGATCAAAATACTTTGTTTTAAATCAATCAATTTTTTCATATAATCTGATATGTATATACACATGCCAAAAGCATTTCAATGAAGTTGTGTTTGACAAAGCTAGCTGGACT